ATGGAAGTAGATTGCCTAACCATCCTTCTGAGGAGTGGCTGGTGGATTTGAACCCTCAGCCTTATGGTTAGCAGTCAGATGCCTTACACACGACGCTACCAGAGTTCGTTTTAAAAATATACTCTAATGAAAAATATCCTAGCAAGAGTTAAGATTGTAAAGTATATAAATCTGTAAAGACTGAATAATTTTCATAAGTCAAAATCTACTAAATGGGAGGAGTCTTGGTGGTAAGCATAGCATTATTATTTTTAAAAAACCAGAAGGCCGGCAGTTCAAATCTCTATGAGTCGGATCCGACTCCACGTTGCACTGCATTTATTAAGTAGTTACTAGTTCTGGGTGTAGTGGGTAAGGCATTTAGTTGCTAACCAGAAAGTCACAGGTTTGAACCCACCAGCCATTCCATGGGAGAAAGATGAGGCAATCTGCTTCCGTAAAGATTTACAGCTTTGGAAACCCAATGGGAGTTGCTATGAGTCAGAATTGACATGATGGCAGTGGGTTTGGTTTTTGGTTTTATTCATAACTGAAGAGAAATTTTGCTGGAACTCTCAATTCTTAACCAGCCACCTCTTGATGCTGCTGGTTGAGAAAGTTTATATTAATTCATTAAATCAATAAATATTTGCTGGATTGAGCAGTCCAAGGACCAAAAAGATAAATGCAGCCCAGAAGACATTCAGTATTAATCTGTGTATGGATTCTCTTGACCACATGCTGAGTACTCCTTGATTCCCAGGAACTCTGGTAGCTTAGTGCCTAAGGCACTTGACTGCTAACCAGAAGGCTTGGCGGTTCAAACCCACCAGCCACTCCTCGGAAGGAAGGTTGGGCAATCTATTTCCATAGTGATACCACCTCAGAAACCCAAGGAGGGGTGGCTGAGTCGAGTCCGATTCAACGGCACATAACAACAACAACAGCGACCCTGTAGTACAGAGCAGAACTGCTTCATAAGCTTTCCAACACTGTAAATCTTTCTGGAAGCAGACCGCCTCATCTTTCTCCCATGGAACGGCTGGTGGGTTCAAACCACTGACCTTTTGGTTAACAGCTTAATTTTTTAAAAATACATATTTATTTAAAGCAGGTTCCATAGACAGGAAACAGAAGAAAAAAAAAAGTGGGAAAAAAAGTTTGGCTTGTTCAGAGACTTAATATGAAGGGTTCAAGATGGGTTCTACTTACCAGTAAGGAGGGACACAAGACAAATCAAGTCCTGGCAGCTGCTCGTTAGTCTGATGGGGTCTTGCAGAACTTCTCTCAAACCTAGGACATTTAAGACTACCTTCAGTGGTCACCACGTTTGTTACTGGGGTCCCCGGGACCCTGAGCAGGGATCCTTGCCTTCTAACAGAGAATTGAACAGGAGAGGCAAAATGTCTACAGGAACCAAAGTTTATTAAAGAGAAAGGAGAGGGGAGGGGCTTGTGAGGTAGAGACAGAGAGGAGCTTTTGCCTACTTTAGCCTCTGGTCTGCAGCAGCTTAATGTTTTAACCACTGCACTACCAGAGCTCCTTACACACTGAGTAACAGGATTAAAATCATGCTAACATACTCAATTATAATTGTTGTTGCCGAGTCAGCTCCAACTCATAGAGACACTATATACAACAGAACAAAACACTGCCTGGCCTTTGGCTGTCCTGACAGTCTTTGCTATACTTGACCCCTCATTGCAGCCACTGTGTCACTCCATCTCATTGAGGGTCTTCCCCTTTTTGCCTTGTTGTTGTTGTTATTTGCCGTCGAGTTGGACCTGACTCATAGCACACCCTCCTTGGGTTTCCGAGGTAGTATCACTTTGGAAGTAGATTGCCCAACCTTCCTTCTGAGGAGTGGCTGGTGGGTTTGAACTGCCAGCCTTCTGGTTAGCAGTCAAGTGCCTTAGGCACTACACTACCAGAGCTCCCTCTACTTTTATCAGGCATGCTGTCCTTCTCCAGGAATGGTCCCTTCTGACAACATGACCAAAGTACATGAGACAAAGTCTGGCCATTCTTGCTTCTAAGGAGCATTCAGGCTGTACTTCTTCCAAGACAGATTTGTTCATACTGTGATGGCTTGCTGTGGTAGCCTGTGCTGTTGCTGTGATGCTGGAAACTATGCCACCACTATTTCAAATACCAACAGGGTCACCTATGGTGGACAGGTTGCAGTGGAGCTTCCAGAGTAAGACAGAGTAGGAAGAAGGACAGGGCCATCCACTTCTGAAAACTTGGCCACTGAAAACCTTGTGAATACCAGTGAAACATTGTCATTTGTCATTGAAAGTATGTATTTTTGAATCTAACACTGTTTTATGATCTTTGACCTCATGCCAGCATCTCATCTACTCACAACAAACTGAGTACTACTTTCTTATGCAGATATTTTTTCCTCCAGACAGAAAACTACCTCTCCTCCTCTCTCTGTAGAACACTTTCAAGGATCTCCGGCCTTCATAACTGTGAGGACCTTGGGGTTGTTTTATTTATTTATATAGTTTTCAAACCCAGGCTCTCTAGGAAGTTTCCAAACAGAAATTCATTTGTGAAATTTCCCATTATAAGAACATTTCGTTGCTTTCCTCTTACATCTAATGTACTTTGTGTTGAGATAGCAGCTAGGCAGATACTACTAGTTCACCTTTACATTTTTTTCTAGAACTGTTTTATTTTAAAATTTTCCAGTGATGTGTGTCTTTAAAGCTAAGTTTTACTATGCTTCTTTATTCTCTTGCCAAGGATTGGCTTCACAACTTTATGTTTTCTTTCCAAGAGAAGTCTTATTTTATTAATTTATTAATTTCTTTTTTTCTTAAACATCCTGTGTTGGAGAACAGACTACCTTGTAAGACATCCCATTGAAATTTCAGACAATTCTAATCATTCAGAGGTTTCCCCACACAAACCTTTTATTGAGCTAAATCTGCCTCCTGATAGATTGCACACATTGGTCCTGGTTCTACTTGCTAGAATGATTTTAAAAAAACAAGTTTAAAATAACAAAAGTGCTTTTACCATTGATAGTCTGAAACTGCTAGGGTTTATGTCCAGTTCTGGCACTTCCATCTGTGAAACACACTGACAAATCTAGTTAAACTTTCTGTGACTCAGTTTCCTTATCTACAAAATTGAAGGCAATAATAATACCTGTCTCATAGGACTGGTCTGAGGAGTAAATGAGACAATATAGTAAAGTATCTAGAATAGTGCTCAGCACGTAGAAAACACTCTGTAAGTATTGTTCTGGTTCCCTAGTGCTGCTCTGATAGGAATATACCACAAATGGGATGGCCTTAACAAACAGGAGTTGATTCTCTTACAGTTCTGGAGGCTAGAAGTCCGAGTTCAAAGTGCCAGGTTCTAGGGGCTGGCTGAAAGCCCCTCAACCTTGGGGCCAGCTCTGCCTCCTGCTCCTGGCCCACTGGAGCTAGAGGCGTTTCTTCACTCAGACAGC